GTTTAGTCTCAGTTTGTTTACCCTCATCTCTAGATAACAAGCGAATAAAACCGTTTCCTGTTCAGATTTTGAGTAGAAATATATCTTAATACCACATCAGGACCCACAGCAGAGCTAAAATCATGATACAATACCTCATTTTCTTCTAAATAACAAGTAATTCTTCATTGTGAATTAACAGGACAGCCATATATGCAGCTTTATGTTTTAGTGGAAACCTTCAGCTTGATCTACTCTTAATTTGAACATCCCATCATTGACAGTCTGTGTGGGCAGAACACATTCTTGGCTTGGATTGAATAGAAGCAGTCTGGGATGTCTCAGAAACCGCTGCACATTTTGCAGCTCCTATGAACTCAACATAGTGAGTGGAGGTAGTCTGGGGCCAGTGAGCTCTTTTGGGTTTATTCATATTCATTTTCCCGTTGCGTTGAATCTCCGAGCTCATTAAGATGCAGCTCTGCTATGCAACAACAGCTTCCAGAGATAATAAAAACACAAACAGCTTCAGACCTTCCATCATAGATATCTGCAGGTGGGTGATTATGGCCAGTCCACTGCTGTGACCCTGACTTATAACAATAATCTCCATGTAAGAGGTTAAAGGACAATTCATGTAAAACAGAGTGAGAAAATAACACAGGCTTTGTCTGGAGATAACAGATCAGCTAGAAAGAAAATGTGTCCCTCAACGACAATATAATTAACTGTGATCACAACATTGGAGTTTAAGGGGATTTGATCTCTGAGATGTAATAAATACAAGACAGCTTTTGTAGGCAAGAGTTATAGCTGCAGCAGTATCCCAAATCACAGATTAAACATGAAAGCACTTACACAACACAACACGCTAGCAATATCGAACACTGCAACTTTGTTCAGCGGCAGTTACTGGATCTCCATCACCTCAGCACATGTGAAATAGATGCAATTGAATTAAACTGGCTGTGCAAGAATCTTAGATTTCAAATGAGTGGCAGCAGGTAAAAATAGATGGAACCTCATGTTGCAAGCTTTGATGAGCAGCTCTCTGCATCTGAGTGTACACAGCTTCAGTATCTCCCTGTGTATCACCACAGATTCATCTGCTTTAAACTCGTATTCTGTACGAGTACACACATCAAACATCTTTTCGTTTATGTAATCAGGGATAAAACTTCTCTCTTTCATGAGTTTTATCAGTTTCCTCTCTGCCCTCATTATGATTCCTGACAAAGCCGCTGCAATGTAGATTAATTACTGATTAAATCCTAAAAACACAGTAAAGCTGCAGCAATATTTTTATATTAACAATGAATTAAAAGATTCTGCATAATGTCAAAGAACTGTGCAGATCTCATTAGAGCTGTTTTCTCTTTTATCTCAATGATTGGGGTTTACTGCACAGACATTTCGTATTTTGGTTCAGTCTCCCTGCTCACTGCTCTCACCAAGCTGGTAAATACAGTGGATCATCTAGAACACAAATTAGCTTCATTCACATGAGTTCACTGAACTCCAGATATTCCTCTGAAATTATCCGGAGGGGCTGTACCTTAGAACACAAATGTCAAGGTTTCTGGACATTCACTGGAGTTTTAACTTTATAAGCATAAGCATGACAATATAGAAGGATAATGTCACTGCAAGAGAGTGAGCACGTTGATTCTGATTCAAACACGAGGGACACAAAATTGTAAAAAAAAGATGAAACGTGCCCTTCACGTAGAAGACACAGCAAATCTAAACTTAGAAAGATGACAAGATTCGAGAGCTTTTGGTGGTAGATGATGGTATTGATCACACATGATTTCCACAGCAGACAGTATGTGTTATGTCCTGACTCCTGCATGCTCTACACAGACGCCACCCCTCGCCTGAATGATCCAGACATTTTTCTGTTGTTGTGAACAGACCTGAACAGCACAATCTCCTGCTGTACACTTCAAATGGGAAAGGCTGGAGAATGTCTGGACCCAATTGTGCTGGTAAATTATCCTCAGGTGGAAACCAAAACGGAGCTAAAAGGAAGTGAATGTTGGACTAACATTCTTCAGACACAAACACAGCACAAAATAAATGTTTATGTTGGTTACATGTGTTAATATGGAAATGTTTGCAACATGCAACAACCATAAGGATGTAAATGTTTGGTTCTGAGTTTGTTGTGCTGCCCCCAAGTGTCCCAATTTCTTTTGGAAAGCATGGAAGGATGGACAGGGTGCTCCTTCATCTGCTTGTTTATTGTCCATATTTAGAAGGATTGTCTGAACAAATATAGATCTGACCTACAACACAATGCACACAGCTTTTGTTTTTGTCCTATTCTTTCCCTTTTCACCAGATTCGATCTTTGTAGATATTTGTGCTGCGAGCTGTATTTGATTTCATTAATAAACCAAGAGAATCTTAAATCTCTATGGGATGTTCTATTTTTATCTTGTAGCATATTTCTCTAGAAAACTAAGAGCAAAGGTTTCCCACTCTTTCTTCTGAGTCTCTTTCACTGTCTGACAGCATCTTGTCTTGTCACATATATTCTCGCCGGGATCATCCTGTTCCATTGTTCTCAGTCTACTGGGCTCCATGAAAACAGCCGGGAGCAAGACAGCAGACGAGTACAAGGAGCTTACGGGGTAACTATACAGACAAAGAGATGAGAGAGATGGACAGAAATGATGATGGAGAGCTGTTATTAGGTGAGGAAGGACACTAGACGACTTGGCCCACGCGACCCCTCGGGGTAGAGGCTCACTGGCTGCTTGTGATTAGAGTTGGGCGCCTGACAGACCTCCGCAAAGAGAGAGGGAGAGCAGACGATGGGGGCGAGGGGTAAGCGGGTCCACATCCCCTGACTGAACCCTAGACATTTTTTAAATTAAATTTTAAAAGCACAAAAAAGGATCATAATAGCTGCAAGAACAACATACAGAAGACAAATTTATTATGTCCTTTTCTTCTAAGACAGCTATTTTCCATCAACCACAAATTCACAGATGACCTAGTTAGAACAGCACACTCTAAGGCAACTGGGAGGGTTTGAGACGATCTTGTGCATTTTATGAAATTCAAAAAGCAGCATTTCTGAAAAACACATTTATACAGAAATGTATGCAGGATTTTGTGGAACCAGGTAAAGGCTCAGCCCGGCAGTGTCAAAACAGCAGGTTAAACACTTTATCCCTCAGTCAGTCGGACTTTGATAAGAGGGCCGCATGTTTAGTAATTTGTTCACCAGCCGAGAGACTCTGTTCGTCTCTGAAAGCCGCTGTGAGATCACTGGTGGATGAGAGGTTAGCATATTTTTAGAGTGTTTCATGCGAGGATCTTTACTTCTTAATAATGAGGGTGCCCTTTTTTTTGTGCCTACGACTCAAGATCAAAGCGCTAGCGAAGAACTGCAGAGGAGCAGACTTACAAAGGTCTGGGTGGAGAAGACACAAAATAATGGGAGAGAGGGACCGAAAATGAAGCCCGAGAGAAAAAATTGCACAAAATATATAATGACAGGAAGAGGAAGTCAAACAGAAGGGAAAAAAATACTGAGTCTGAGTTTTCAGTTTAGTGTTAATCATAGAACAAAAGATTGGCGGAGAGATATGGAAACCCAACTGATATAACTCTACAAACCAGGGTCATTGAGAATACCAAGATATCATCTGCAATATGTATTTGTCATATATCTTTTAAATGAAAAATTACATAAACAGTCAATCACATATGGTGGCAGAGAAGGCTTCAAAACACCAAACTAGAGGAAAGTGTTGCCCTTTGAAATCTGGCTTCTTGACATCAGTATTCTAATTCTTGGCTCACCCCTGGAATAATCAGACCATTTGATATTATTGTGAGTAAAATACCTTATCACATGTCATCAATGATTATTAATGTTCGTGAAAAAGAAAAGCTTTCTGGAAAAATTGCCAAGAAGTATATTCAAACAGTAGTTAGTATTCATCACTACACACTAATGACCTGTTTAAAATTATAAAAGGGTATTAAAGATGCAGCCAGTCCTGTCTGTGATACCTTTTTGTGATAGACCTTTAAGTAGAATAAAAAAATGTAAGCAGCCTAATTTCCCTTTTTTTGTTGTTGTTTTTTTTAAGAGAAAATGTTGGTTGGTCACAAACAAAGACATTATAAAGATGGACGACACTTCTTCACTTCCACCTACTATTAAGAAATGAAGCCAAAATATCCTGGATACGTACACAGCCATCTTGTGCATTAAGAGCCAGAGTCTGCACAGTTGCAATTGGGAGACAGTCACATTAGCGATATCCCATCGATACACACGGTCCACATGCTTCACAACTCACGAGTATGTCTCAGCTGTCAATCATGACGTTTCACATCATTTTTATAGCAACTAATTAAAACCAGACTTACCATTAAAACTGAACACTTGAACATACCTCAGTAAGACAATGCGAAATACAGACATGAGAAATACAAAATTCTATTTCCGCCCATGCCCTATTAAAGTTACAGTGTGTAATGTGTAAATCGTGTTGAAATTTCATGTTGCAGCTGAACACCCCTCACCTCACCCTCTCCTTCCAAACATGAAAAAGAACCTGTGGTAGCTTCAGTTGTCATAAAAACTCAAAAGATGTTTAGTTTGTCCAGTCTGGACTAATGCAAAAAACATGGCGGCCTCTGTAGAGAGGGCCCCCTCGATGTAAATATAAAGTATTTAAATATAAAGGGTCTTTTCTGGGGTAAAGAAAACTACAATTCATACAATTTAAATGAAATGAACTAGTGAAAACATCATGAGGATTATTCTACATTCAATTTCTGCCAATAGATCCCTTTCACCTAAATCTTACACACTGGCCCTTTAACTAACATGGCGGAGAATGGGTTTATGACCTGGTGATCGCTTTGACTTCACTTATGGAAACTGTTATGTCATCCATCTTTATATACAGCCCCAGCAAGCAGCCACCTGTTTTGTTTTTGCTCCTAACTAATCACACTCCTTTCATTATTCTTCTCTCCGTTTCTCTCGTTACCTCTTTTCTGGTGTGGTTTCATTTTCTTTGCTGGCTGGCGCTTCCTGGAGATCTGGGAGGTTGGCAAAGTCATCCTGTTCAGCCAGCCCGATAGCTAGAGACAGAACAACCATCTTCCCCTCGCTGGACACAAAGACAAACAAGACAGTACACACACACCACACAAGTATGTAGACAAATAGGTACACAGTTACACACACATACTCAAGCATACACACAAAAACGACACGACAAAAGGCAGTGACACAAACACAGGCAGCACACATTCATTTCATGTACAAAGAGAGAGGGGGAGAGAGGTGGTAAGCTGTTGTGAGGACACTATTTCACTTTTACAAATCCTCAGTCCATACTTTACATTGCAGTGCATCTCAACCACACCACTGTGCTGTGGAGTGAGAACACCACACAGCCTTCATTCATCTAACACTTCAGTCACATTTTAAAACATGCATTTCTACTCATCACTTTTTGTTTCTGATTTAACATCACTGAACATTATCACTTTCCAGACAGGGAAACACACTGGATTTTGCTGGTTTATTGTAGAAGAGAAGAAACCATAAAAGCTATAAACCATAACCTACATCAGTGGATGATTTTGTATTTCACTGTACAATGCATCTTTTGGCAGTTTTGCTTTCTCTCTCAGTGATAGCCTCTGCCAGGGGGTTATAATTTCCTCTTCATTTGTTTGTTAGTTAGCAGGATTACGCAAAAATTACTCAACCGATTTCCATAAACTTTTGTTACGGGGTGGAGAATGATCCAGGGAGGAGCCCAGTAAATTTGGTCTGGATCTAGATCAGAGGATGGATCCAGGAATTTTGTCTGCGATATATGGTGTTTTTCAAATTTTTCTTTGATTTCTCCCACAATAATTTATTAATTGTGAGGAAAAAAAATCAGACACTGATATTTATGGGTTTGTTCAATTTGGTGCAGAGCCAAATGAAAATCTGGATCAAGTGAATTTTCAATGTGGTTTCATAAGGGGACTATTGGGGCTATTCTACTCTCAGTTTTGGCATGAGGACTCGCACTGACCTCTGATGTGCATATTTCAAAAAAAGCATAAGTAAAGATGTTAAAGGTAACCAGCAATAAGCGTTATGCATTATATTGTAGTATTGCAGTATTGTTTTAGTCTATGGTTATTTTCATATATCAGACAACATAATCTGCCATTTCCACAACCAGTAATCTCCCTTACACATATAACTAAAGCACAACCCTCAGCTACCTGACTTTTTATTTCATCATTTATTTTTCTTAGTAAATTAGACTCCATTAGAAGTGAGGAAAAGGATGTGTGCTGTTGTTGAAAGACGTCTAAAAGTCTTTTTCTTTTCTATTCTGCAAGGTTGAGAGTTTGCTATTCAAAGCCATCCAGTTAAATTACTACATATTCTCAGGCTTTGGATAATGAGTAGTGCCTATGATTACTTAATGTACTTTATGCTGTATCATTAGCATGAGTGCATGAGAGACCAATGACTTTGGTGTCAGTTTATTTGACAAATGCAGAATTAATTCTCTCTTCAGCTAATTAACGTTGGCCTGATGTCGCATGGATCATATTAGAATACATGCACTTATAATATTTACTATTTCATAGTGTCTAATTAAAATACAAGAGATATTTATCATCTGTGAGCCTATGATATATGACCATTTATAAATATCCATACATTGCTTTTGCTCACAATTCATCATTAAAATATATGAGGTTAAACAATGCATCAGTGAGGAGTGTGAGCTTTTTAAGAACTACGGTGCATTCAATGTCTTATGAGGGTTTTTTAATCCACTCCAAAAATAGTGGTCATTAAATGTTTTTTAATAAAATAAGCATTATTAGCAGAGAGGTAGAGGATCACTGTTGTCTCCATGGCTTTATTTTCACATATTATCTGGGTCACGGAAAAGTGTACATATACAAAAAAAATTTTTTAAAAGCAAAAGTCTCAAAGAAGGGTATGAATCATTTGAGAGAGAAAGTAAGAGGCAACAGAGATGACACGCAGAAAAAAAGAAAAGAAAAAATGAAGGAAATCCATGAAAATGGAAGAGGCCTTGATAAAACCTGCAACAAAATTTTTTTAATAAATATACAGCTGTTATTCTTCCTCCAAAAGTACCTGAAGTCATTTAAATTACATCTCACTAAAATTTAAAATGCCAAAAATGTGACCTTAACAAATGAACATTTGCCCACAACCAACCTTGAAATTCAAAGTCTCAAAATAACAACCCACATACAGACACATGTTGCACATAATTCTTGCTTCTCATACGTTTTTCTCTGGCTCTACTAAGTCCTTTTCCACTTCAGCTTCTAACACTGCACGCTGCTCCAAGGACAACCTTTTTGATTGTTATTGCCACAGCAATTTGAACAGCTATTGCAAACTGATTTTTCCTCTTACATCCTTTAAAACCTAAGTATTTCATGATGAAAGGAGGTTTTTGCTTGGTTTTTCACTTTTATTTTGCAGTTACTGGAAAGTCTGTTACACAAGGTGATGAGAGGTGGATCCCAATGTAATCGAATTGTTATAAACTTGCAATATGAAACAGTAATCTGTAATCTAAATTTAATGTGAAGAATTAAATCCAGCTATCGTGACGACTAATTGGGCACAAGCATGAACAAACTTCAACTGGTAAATTTCACTTTTTTTGAATGCATGGTAATTCATCCATTTCTCCTCAGATCTCCTTCATTACTCTTCATCTTACACCTGATCTATATTCTAAAGAAGTTTAAATACTGACATCAGTATCTGAACATATTTACAAAATAGTTCTGATCCTACCAGAAATGTGGTGTTGGACATCGCTGGGTGCACAAATCTATATACTGGCAAAATTTCATGCTGGAAAGTCCCACAAGTAAAACAGCAATGTGTAGTGAATGCAAGACTTCAGTTTTGAGGAGTGGCGGTACTGCTGCCAGTTCAATGATAATGTTTTTTAAATGCACAGGTATGGAATTGGTGATATGCAAAGTCCAGATATCGGAATCGGTATCTGGAAGGGAAATATTGTATCTGACATCTCCACTATTTCCCCAGCCTGTTCTTTTTTACTGTAGTGTTAACAACAAATCGAAACAAGCTGAACATGTTGGCTCTTTAGCGGAAGTGACCCACTGGGGATGCGTAAACACCACCAACATGAGACCTATCGATCAGGTGAATGGATTTGTATCTTTGACCACAAAAGATGGAGGACGCTGAAATCATTACCCTACATCAGCTCTATTCATCTGAAATATACAGTGTGGTGGCTCAGTAGTCATGTGGTGTGACAACACGTGGAAGGTAAACCTGCTCCATTTCGTTGTTCATACCCCACTGATCTGATTGCAAATGCATAAAATCCCCCCTGCCCACAGTGTCTGCCCCTCCAGGGTCAACAACTGACGTGTTTATGACGTGTTATATATATATATATATATATATATATATATGTGCCCAGCCTTCTTTAAATAGTGATTCACATAGGCAGGGATGTCACTGGCCTCCAGACACTATTAAAGGGAAGACATATAAAAAGTACAAGAGTGTGTCTATGCTCATGGTCAGGAGGGGAGTGGGCGTTTACGTGAGGATGCTTTGTAGAGCACATAATCTGTAATCTATCATTCAAGTCAAGTGGAGGAGGAGAGCTCTCTGTGCTCTGTACCTCAAACAATCAGACAATCTATTCACTAACTTTGATGACCATGGTAACTGTCCGGTGAAAGAACATTTCTTTTGAACCATGGTTGGCAATTTTTAAGGTAATTATCACCTTACACCAAGCTTAAAAATTGAAATGGACCGAAAAATGTGTAAAGAATAGTTTCCTGAATCAACACCTCATTGCTCGCAATCCCCACATACACGGCAATGTTAGTGAGTGGGAAAGAGAATAGTAAAGATAATATCATCCGGATAAAAAAAACTATGAGGTGCTCCCCAAAAAACAAATCACAGTATATCTGGTTGTAAAATACAGGCAAAAAACACGGCGTCCAAATTTTTCAATATTTGAAGTAAGAGTGGTTAGCCAAGGATAATATTAAAATAGCCAGGGAGTAACGATAGCTAACCTTAGCTAACCGTAGCTATTGCTACTGTTGCACAATGACCTGTTTAAAAAGACCAGTGTGTTGCGGGATCCCTCCCGACTCGTACGAATGGCTACACGCTTGCTACAGCTAATGTTACCACAGTAAAATGAAAAGGCAACGCAATGTTAGCATAAACTCCCTTCGTTGAAAATGAGTTCTTTCTGTTGAATTACCATACAAGCCAGTTGATGGGCTTTGAACTTGGCACAGTCATTGTGTAAAAGATTTATACTCGGTGAGGCAGTTGGTCATCAATGATTATGTCAGTAAACAATCAGAAATGTCTAATGTTAGCTTGCTGACGTTACCGTAGCTCCTAAAAGATTGACAGCAATAACAATATAATAAAGAGTAGTTTTATCACTTATTCACATGAGTATATAATGAAAACATATACTAAACATAGAGCCAAACTACACAGCCTCCAAAATAACAACTGAGTTGAATCAACACCTCTTAAAAACTGTCTCAACAAAAAGAGTAGGATTTGGTGCAGGACTGTTTGTATGCAGCAGGTAGGCAACCAGCTGTGTTGACCCTAGATACCTCAAAATAAAGTCTGCAATGCAACATACATCGTCCAGATGTATTGCACACTTTACGATATAAAAGTAGTCATTACAGTTTGGTCTGTCATCTTTCAAGCTTCATTCTCATTTCACAGAGTAGAAAACGTCTTGACACTTACAAGAACGACTTGACGTCCAGCCCTCTGTGCCGGATCTGCTCCATCATGTGATCCCAGCTGCCTGGATTCGACCTTGACCGGCCTGCCCCTCCTCCTCCTCTGTACCGGGAGGCTCCAGCCGGACTCCCCCGGACCCCCCGTGGGCCCCCACGGTGGCCTCCGCCGCCTGGGCCCGTGTGAAGCTGGCCCAGGCTCTGTGATGTGACTGGGGGGTCGTTGGGACCTGGAGGGGGCTGGTGAGTGAGGGGCTGTTGGAGGCTCTGCTGGCGGACGAGGGGCCGAGGGCGTGCCACGGCCGAGGATGGGATGTGCTCCAAGGTTGACGCAGATGAGAGGGAGGCATCCCCGAAACTGAGCAGACACGCAGGAGCAACAAAGAAAGAGATGGATACAAGGTAGAAATCAGAGTTAGAGATAATGTGAGTGATACGGGACGGGGCAGGAGGTTTAGCAAGCATTTTGAAAGAATGAAAGTATGAAAAAGTTACACAGGACAATATTGATATCGAAAAATGGCATAAGAAAAGCAAATTTTGAAAGGTGTGAAAATAGTGTTTGCATCCGAAACAAACAAAGTGAAAGTGAAATAAGGAAAGAAAGAAGAACAGAGTTGTCAAAAAGCTCTAAATAACTGTGGAACATCTGTTTGAAACCAATTGTTTAGGATTTGGAGATTATGCCAGTTTATGAGTATATGGATGGGCAAGCGTGTAATGTATAAACAATCAATTATTCTTCCAAAGAGGCATTAAAACAAACCTGAAGCTGAGGTTAAAGCGTCGCTATGGCTCAATGTGAATCTGCTCTAAACTGTTTCTGTACGTGACGTCTCTCCCTAATTAGCCCTGACCTACTTCTACCTTCTTGCCTTGTTGCCTTTTACGTCCACCAGTCCATCTCCAAGGTCCTATCAGCTCCTGCTGTTTCCCCCTCCCACTCTCCCCTCTACCTTTGTGCTTCTGAGCTCAGCTGTTCTCCATCACTTCTGTCCATCTCCTCTGTCCATTCATCTTTTCTTCACCCTCAGTCCTCCCATAAATCTATCTCCACACCACCTCAAATCACTGTTCTGTAAGTCTGCTCTCTAATTACCGGTCTGCTACTCTTACAATCATGTAATAGTGCTTCACCCCTTATCCTCCCCTCAATCACTGCCCTGCCTGATGACTGTAAGCTTGTGCTGAACAGCTCTGTCTGGAGCTAATGCTGTGAGGGAGGATTTACTGCCGGGGGCCTGAGTTGTGTTCGCAGCTCTCCTCAATATTAACTTGGCTGTAACTCTGCTGGAGAGCGAGGAGACGTGCCCCCTGAGCAGCAGAGTACTGTTGTAAATAAAAGACAGAGCTCATATTCATGCACTCATGCAGGCTTTCTCTCATACATGCATTCATACTAACAGAGTGCACGCCATTAGAGATCTTTCAAGAGGATAGGCTTTGATGAGAATGTTTAATAAATCGTCCATCAAATTTGAACAAATAATGTGAAATAACATATTTCACTTTTGCTTGACATTTGTTGATGAGATGTGTAAAGGGTGCCAGTTAATGTTTCCTTTATTTTCTGCATAGACAACCATAGAGTAGTAGTCCAAGAACTCTGATTAGGCTCCTCTAAGCTCATAAAACTTAACTAGAGAAAGTTATATCAGGAAATTTACTGCCACTAGATGTCGCATGACCATAGTGTGGATACCCAACCCAAGCCCAATTGGGGCCTGATGGGCCAGCCCAGGATTGGACACATTTTTTTAAATGATATATTTTTTCACTGTACATAATTGGTGCAACAATAACCATGTGTGTTATGGACAGAGAAACACACACTGAGTGCAGCTTACATTAACTGCTCAGGACGTTTTTTCGGACACAAAAAGATGACCCAAGCCACAATCTACACCAGCACCAGCATCTCAAGCAAAACAAAAAACTGCTTTGTTGGCTGCACCCCCCTTTTTGTTCTCAGCTGTGCTGCAGATACAGTTATATTGGACCCAAAAACAAAACCAGAAGCTCAACCGAATATTGTTGTCATGTGTACAGCAGAGCCAACCAAATAAATAATCCAGCCTAGCAAACTGGTAATGATGATATGTTATGAGCATCCTTGTGAGTAACTGCATGTTTTTAAATCTTATTTTTGGGCAATACTCACTCTGTCAGCACCCAACCCAGCAACTGATATATAATTTGTTAATTTGATATAAAAATAAGGTATCTTTGGTGATTTTGGTTAAACACTGTGGGGGTCAGTTGACAGGTTTGTTTGTAGTGTTTGTTTTTTCTCAGAAAGACACCGCAGAGTAGAAATTGGTCCTTTAAGTGTCATGTTCACTCGCTGTCGGTTATTTATAATACATAAAGCAAATTACATCTATTCATATTTTCATGGTTAGGTGTAATAGGTGTGTTAACACTATGTAGTTGGAAGTACAAATCTGAATTATGTATTTTAGTTTAAAATCACCTGCTGTATTATTCCTCATGATACTTGTGAGCCATGAGCTCTAGTGAGGTGAAATAAAATGTAGTGTAACAACATATATTACAAAGAACCAAAATATTCAGTCACATGTAAATTTTAGGGATAAATAAAAGGTCTGTTGACTCACATAGACATTCCACATCGACACAAATACGTTTCTGTAACTGACATCATAATAAATTCAATACATCTGGCTGGACTCATGGTGGCATGAAGCCAGACATCTGGGAGCCAGTTTGTGTCCTAATAAATTTTGCCTGTCTGTTCAGTGTCATAAATTTGGCAAAGAATTAACTAGTTAAAAAATATAATTCAAAGGTTCTCTGACCCAGAATCCTTTTCTCAAAGCATTTTCCTCAGTGGCTGCATCTACATGCGTTTTCAGGTACTGTACATTTCTGCTGTCTACTATCTGCACAGCACTGGCACCAGTCATTCAGTCATGTGCCCCGAGCATGAGCTATATTTATATTCTGTTGCCTATGACTGATTTAGACAGATATGTTTACATTTCTTCTTGCTTGAAAGTCAATTAAAATGACCATAAACCATGAATGATTTCATAATTAGGGAGAATTGAGGAGGGTAAAAGAAGAAAAAAAAACAAGGAGACAGTCAGGAGTCAGTGCGAGGGGAGAAATCACAATGGTGAAGAGAGAGAGAGAGTCAGAGAGAGAGAAAGAGACAGAGAGAGAGAGAGAGAGGGGGGAGAGAAGTAAATGGCCCAAAATAGAAACCAATTCCAGAGGAGAAATGGAAATTCAGGCAGATTTGAAAGGGGAGCAAAACAGAAGAGTGACAAGAGTGAAAACTAATAAAACAGGACAGCTGAAAATTAAGTTTAAGTCCATATATTCTACTGAATGTCTATAAATAAAGCACATATTGTTGAAAAGCAACACACTGTATCGTTTATTCAAAATAAAAAAGAATTCATTCTTGACGAGTGGAAGCAGTTTATAACGTGTACAGTCCAATCAAAAGGCATTGGTTCTGAGTATCGGAATATTCTGAATTAGGTGTTTTTCCTAAGAATCTGCTTTGATCATAACAAGGACACATTCTTATATATACAAAGTTGAATACTAGAGTGAAATGGCTGTGACGCCTCAGACTAAACTTTTTAATCAATCTATTCAGCTGTATTTTGCTCTGAGTTTAATGAATGAACTGTTTATGAATTATGGTACAACAGGCTGATTATCTGGGCCTCAATTTACATACAGGGAGAACATTAGCCTCCCAAAAACATGAAGCACTCAGCAGCCAAGGATTTTAGCATTTCCACATCTAATTCATATGGGACAGATTATATTTGAATAAAGAGCATTTATTTAGTTGATAGTAGTCTCTGACCTTACATCAGGCTTTTACCGTGGTAAAGTGCTGTTACTGTCAGCTTGTGTGATCCGTGTCCTAGGATCAGTTTTCATGATAAGAACTGGTCTAAACCCTCTGGGTTATATCTGCATCTGTGTGTGCTGATTTTGTTAGCTCAACTATAATCACTGCTATTTTCTTTGTGAAACACTTGACATTTTCACCTTTTCAGGGTGACAACAAATTATTCAAATTACAGAGGCTGAGTGCTGACCATAACTCATTAGTTAGTACACTGTGATAAACCAAGGACGAGGGGGTCACAAATAGATATTGTCATTTGGGTTAATTGGAAAAAAAATATCACATCATCAAGCTTTAATCTACCTGCATTATGGTAATTAAGGGTCTACTATATATAGCAGGGGTTCTCAAAGTGGGTCCTTCGGGGGTTCCCATCATAAGAGGAAATAATTTCTTTTCACAGTAATTTCATCCATAACTAACACACTGACAGAATGTATGACTATTTTGGTCCTGAATTTCATGCATGTCCTGTCACAAAATGTCCAAAAGCAAGAATCTTGTCACAGTTGGTCACAAAGGGAGACTGAGCTTTTGCTCTTCAAACCCACACACTTTCAAATTCTATGCCCACTGAACTCTTTTTGAAATCTTTAGAAAGTTTTATTTATTTTTACTGCTTTATCGCTTATGTGTTCAGTGTCCTTTGAGTCAAATCCCTTGTCTGGTTTAAAATGTTTTGGTTTTCTCCCTGGTTTTAAGTACTTTGCAACACTGTTAAGAAAACTGCTATATAATGAAGTATTTTATTAGTATTAGTATTAAAAATGGTGGCCCATAGTATAATCTATGTCAGTTTAGAGGTCCTTGACATGCAAAAGTTTGAGAACCACTGTGGTTGTCTCGACAACAATCTGGACAATACTTAATCTAGGTGATTAATTTTGCTTTGGTTATGTCACATAAAGTTTATTATCAATTGCTGTTGTTCACACCATCCGCTTATCTGACTGAATATCATTAAAACCAACAGAAAGTCTTTGTGCTTTGCCACCTGTAGTGAGACAGGCTGTTGTGCTAAGCTAATTGCTAAAACAAAGCACCTTCTCAGCTGTTTCCAGATGTTGGTACAAAGTGAGCTTTGGTTAAAATTACACTGCATTCAACCATGTTGCAGGAAAGGCTGTCTTATGCATCACTGGCCAAATAAAGATTCTCTCCTGCTGTTTATGCAACAACCCACTCTGAGATTAAAAGCTGTTACTTCAGATGAATAAACAAGCTATTTCTGAAGATCTTCTGTGAGCATCTGTCACAGCCATCAGTAAATTGCAGCTTGCGGAGCAACATCACGATTGTGTGGATTCACTTTGTCGGAGACTGTCCTGACATCAGCTGGCGAATATTTGGCAGCTGACATAAAAGTGCTACTTGTTTAAGAGCGAGGAAGTCAAGAGACTCCAAGGGTTACTTATGCATCACAGGTAGTCTCTTCAGCCCCTTATCGCAGTATCTTCATCTGCACGTGTCAAAACAACTGAGGCAACATGCAACAGTCCATTCACGATTTTTTATCATCCCACACTCTTCCTCGATTTCCACACCATGCTGTTGTTGTGCCCACTGTAGCCCCTCATGCGTGCCCACTGTCACCATGCGACACTCACTTGCTAAACCGCAGGCCTCCGGCATGCATGTGGCTCTGGATCGTCTGCCAGCGCCCGGCCTTGCTGCCCCCTGTCACCATGCTTCGAACGCTGTCACTGCGACTGGGCCCCGCCCCAGTCCCAGAGCAAGCACCCCCACTGTCACTGGCCCCCAGTGAGGGTCCAGCACTGCCCTGCCCACCCTTATCCACGGCCCCACTGGGAGGAACGGTGGGGTGGATCGTAGACAAAGAAACACGGGACGGACAGACAAGAAAACAGAACCAAGAGAGGATACAAAGAAGAAAGAGAGAGAGGAAGAGACGAGAGACAGACGTACAGAACCGGAGAGCAAAAGTATCATTAGTAAAGTTCTTTAAACTGGTGACAAAGACACTTAAGGGAAACGTAGTCCAGCCACAAGTGTCCAGCAGACATCAAGAACTTGGTGGAATAGTTCCTGGTCAGTCAGACAGTCAGTAAAATAAGCAATGAAGAGGTCGGAGACTGAGACAAAACACATTTTCCAAAGTACAATAGTTGTGGTCAAAACTTCAAAAACCAATGAAGGCCCAGAGATGACTTAAGACAGAACTTCAGTACAGGGACCTTCCACTGAGTGAGGACAAATCACACAACACACAGCTGCACACCAGGACAACGTCTTCAACAACAATTAGACAGGAAACGTGGGCTGACAGTAAAATGAATGATTTCGCATTGAGATATTTCCTGACTCTGTGGCCCACTGTCATACAACTCTGACATATGATTATTCTGTATTCTAATTCTCCACTTTCGTCATTTGAATTTAATTATTTATTTTGATTCTAATTGTTTTTTAGCTATTTTCCAATGCATTTCCTCGCCTTATGTGAAACACTTCCCTCTGAGTTTGAAAGGTGATAAACATTTCAAAAAGCCCTCTCTTAAAAGCATCATTATTTCCACAATAAGAAGTAACTCTCTTTTATCTGCTTTCAAATATCAGAAATGCCGCTATGATCTGCCTATTAAATGCCATTTAAATTATATGTCAAAAGTAGAATGCAACGCAATCACAACAATCGTTGCTGCTCACTGATTTTACAATAGTTTCAGCGCCACTGCACAGATTGAAAGAGATCGATCTCTCTGTGGTTCTGAAATAGTTGAGTGAGATGTAATTGAAGAGGAACAGGCTCACGAAATGCCTCCTTGAAGTGTGAGATGCATCCAAGTGATGGATCGGAGATTGGTATGAAACAGGCATTTTACCATTGTAACATTTAATTGTAGCACTGTACACAAAGGATAGCGTGTCACTATTTTTGGAGCAGGGCTCAGTGGACTAGACTCAGGGAGGGGGTGCTATCATGCAGCCTCAAAGTGGTTACAGGACCACGAGGGATGGTGGGAATAGTGATAACGAATGAGCAGAAAACAATGAGTGAGTGGAGGAAGAGGTGATGGGAATAATAACACACAGCATCTGGACATTCACATTAAAAAACAGAGACAGACACCTCCCCATTGAAGGAACATTTTGACCACAGTCTGCGAATAATGATGGAGGACGTCTCTCCACTTCTTACTACTGCATGAAAGTGAAGCCAAAATATCCCATAGCTGGGTGCTGCCATCTTGGGGTGGAGATGTAATTTAGAGCCAGAGTCTGCGCAGTAGTGATCGTGGAGTGGAGCCATGGTTTCGAGGTACCACTGATACATGCCGTTGACAAATGACGAGCCAGTCTCAGCTGTCAATCATGATGTCAACTAATCAAATAACTAATTAAAAACAACTGAATTGAAAAATGACCACTTAAACACAACACTGTGATAAGAACCGCTTATAGGACAGAAATCATTTTATGGAAACCTTATTTGACGTTTACTTTTTTTTTTTTACTTTGCTCCATGTCCCATCCACTAACAAGGAGATGGAGTTCATGAACTATATGCAGCTAGCCACCAGGGAGCAATTGTGATGTTTTGGCTTCACTTTTTGGGAGCAGTCATTTCGTTCATTCGTCTGTAAATTAGACATTCTGGTGGAAAGTTGGATGAGAAGATTGACACCAGTATCACAGATGACTGTAAATATGAAGATAAAGTCAGTTGCTGCTTAGCTTAGCTTAAACTCACATCAGCAAGTGGAGTGTTGTTTGCTCAGAAAAACAATAATTTACTGCTGTATGTTGGACTATTTCCTGGCCAGGTGTAGTATCTTTCTGGTGTCTCCATAATTAACCGTCTGTTGCTCTCATTCAGGAAATTTAAATTTTTATAAAGATTAAACAAATATGTAATTAGTGAGTGGAGGGAATGACGATTCCCAAAAGTAAAGCCAACCCGTCTCGATCCCAAACTTGTGGTTGGCTGCAGTATAGGTCATAAATCCTGCCTCCCCCATGTTATTAGATGGGATCAAACTAAAAAGTCCAAATAAACTTCAAATACATTTTTCTCAAAGATGGTTTCTGTTGTTTTAGGTCATTCATGTGACATTGGTGTGTCCAAGTGTTATTTGTTTTGGTAAACTTGGCACTACCACGGCTCCATCCCTCAGTTGTTATGGCTCAGACGATGGCTGTGTTCATATTCATTTCTGGTTAGCGGGAGAAAGTGGGGATTTGTCATCCATCCTATATACAGTCTACGGTTTAGAGGTGTGGGTAGGCAGATGTCGACACCTTAGGGCCAATCCAGCTTTGCTGTTTCCAGTCTCTATTGTAAACTATAAGCACAGCAGCATATTTTATGAAACATACTGTATGAGACTTCTCATGTAACTCTACACCAGATAGCTACTACTGCATACAAAGTAAAACATACATATATATATAAAACAATCAGAAAAGCCAACAACAGTCAAACCTGTGTGGAAACCTTGACTTATGTAAGTGTATTTTCAAGTCAAGTCTGCAACAATATCCTGAGGTGCAGATGTGAATACTTGGAGTTGAGAGGTTGGGTAATGTGAAGCGGAAAAGGGTTGAGGTGAGGGTTTGACTGTCTCCATGGTAACACCCCATGGGCTGCAGGTGAGATGTAAGAAAGGTGTGATGAGGCAAGCAGGGCTGCAGGGAGCGGAGCTATCAAACTTTTGTCAAAAATACAAAAGTTTACCATAATAAATAATCAAAGGTTATTTTCCTAATGTATTCAGGTTTTACTTTAAAATCCAGGCAGCATTTAAAAAGGAGGTGTCATTTTTCTCTGTAATCTTCTCTCATGATATAAAGCCTGATTTGTGTTTTCAGTTCGGACATATGAACTCATTGTAAATTTATGTGCCTTTTGTCACACACATCTCTATCAGGTGCTGCATGGCCAGCAGTGCATACTAAACACCACCTCACTGAGGACACGCCTGACTGCAAAAAACATGAGGATTACGCGGGATGAGAGGAGACTTCTGTAAAAAGACATGTGGCCAGATAGTGTAACAAAATGAGTTTTTCTGCCTCCTTATGGATTACTAAATGTGACCTTTTCACTCATCAGAGACGTGTGTTGATAAATCGTTAGCAAGTATTTCTGTGTTATATTTCAGGTACACAAATTGCCAATTGCATTAATTTAGCAAGCACAAATCCTTTACCTTGCTAATAATGTCCAATTTCATGATGTCTTTCAAGACAAGCCCCTGTTCACTACAGCCCTGCCCTGATAGAGGGGTCCCTTACCAGCCACGAGTGAGACTCACTTGGGTGTGAGGCGAGGGTCTCCGTACGGGGCATAGGGAGACATGTTTAAGAGGAACTCCTTGGGCGGGTAGGAGCTCCATCTCTGTTGCACATTGCTGCTGTCATTGTTATTCCAAAAGTCTCTGTCTAGATCACTGTGGTCGGAGAGACAGAGACAGAGGTGAGACAGGTAAAGAGCAGCAGACGTTCAAAGACTGAGAGACAGGAAAGAGAGAAACCAGCATAAAAAGAACAGACGTTAGTATTGTCTCATAAATCTAAAAGTCAGAGAGAGAGTTGATAAATAAAGGAAAAGTAATAACTTCAATGTCAGTATAGTTATATTGTTAAATGGTGCATCTATTAATGTGGACACTGAATTATTTAGTTCATGAGAAATGAGTTGGAAACAAGTATGACAGTAAAACACTTACCGTCAAATTTGAGTAGAAAACCATTAGTTATTCAACAGAAGTTGAAGTTATTCTAAGT